TTATTATTATATTATCATCGTCATTATTATTAGTAGTAGTAGTAATGAAAATGATGATAATGATAATACCAATGATGCCAATAATTATGATGATGATGATGATGATATAAAATAATAATTGAAAATGATAATAATGATGATAATACTAATTACAAAATCGATGATAATCATGATGGCATTGGTGATAATAACAATGATCAGGATGATGATCAAGATGATAATGATAATGATGGAGATAATCATGCTGCTGCTGACGATAATGATAATAATTATGACAATGATGATGATAATGATTATAATGTACTCTTATCACGAACGCTGTTCTTTCTACCACCAGAAATAATAAGAACAGGATTACTAAGCATGTCTAAATTTTGTCTTAATTTCAGGTACCGAGTGTGTATCCACGAGCGAGACTTCACAGTAGGTCAGGAGATAACAGATAATATTATCAACAGCGTCGAAAGGTCGCGTAAGGTGAGGACTTCCGGTTTATGTGTAACTTGTTAAAAACCTTATCTCACTAGCACATTTTCCGTCAATGTTTGGATTTGAAGCAAGTATTGCGTGGGAACAGATCGCCTCAGTCCAATTTTAGGTGTTTGTTAAAGATTTTATCTCACTGGCACAGTTTCCATCAATTTTTGGGTTTTAAGTAAATATCGCGTGGGAACAGATCGACTCATAGACTAATTTTAGGGTCTATCACACTGGCACGTTTTCCGTCAGTGTTTGGGTTTCCATCCGAATTCGAAGTTTACCGCAAGTATTGCATGCAATTAGGACGTCTCTCAGACTATAATTTTTCTCAGCTTTTCATGTTATTGATTTCAAATATATCTTATTTTCATACCTGGAAAAGCATGGAAATATTGGTTGTGGAACATTTAAAGAATATGAAAGAAGACAAAGCACTTTTGTACGGGACAATAAGACTTAATCAAGTGAATCTTGCAGGAAGTAGCTATAAGTTGGGTGCGACCTTTTTCGTCTCAATGATTTCCGTCTTGATTTTGTGTTACTGAGGATCTATACAGGTAGGATGTTTTTTATTGATAAATTAGATAAGAAATGTAAATGTAACGGAAGTTGATATTATATATTTCTGTATACCATATGCGTAATTATATTTCTTTAAAATATCGCGATATATATGAGAATGCTTGTGTGATTCCCGGGACCAGACTCAGATGGCGTCAGGTTTGTTTACATGCCTTAGTAGTGTAATAGTGTCAGTCCATTTACACACCAAACTCGCATGGAAAACTGACGGAAAGTGCTAGTGTGACAGGGCCTTTAAATGTCTCATGGAAGGGCTGTGATTTTGATATACAAGTTAAATGTTTTGATAGGGGTCCATGCGTCAATTTAGCGTAAAATAAAATCAACTCTGATGAAACCGTGAAACAAAGATGCACATGTTTTTTTTTTTTTTTGCATAAAAATACAGTACCGCTTGGGTTTCTGATGTCAAAGAAGCAGAGACACTAGTAATGATATATGAACGACTGTTTTACATTTGCTGTTTTCTGATGCACTTTGGTTTTTTAATTGCTTCATTCATGGTTTTGACGACTTTCAGAATAATAATTTCATGAAATTAATCACCAATACGACAGTCTGAAATTCATGGACTTTCAGATATGGTAAGCCATCCATTGCCTTAATGAACGTTTACTCTGATGACCACTGCTGGTCCAGCTTGAAACGAGCTATAAAGTTTTGTTGTGCTGAAGCTCTGTTTCTGAAGAGAGAATCATCGGGGAATTATGAATTATGTAAAATATTAATTCAGCAACTCATGATATACCATGTAACTTCTTCATTACTGTTCATACGGAGAGGAAAAATTTGTTGACTGATCAAATGTTTTAGACGTGTATCAGGCGAGCTAGTAATTGCTGAAGGGCCAGTTAAGTTCTTCTCTGACTGGTTTGTATTCCAAAAATTACTTCAACAATAAGCTGGCTCAAACGGGCAAGTACAACCGTCCTTTCATCATAGAATCGGTACTTTTCTCGTCTTTTACAACAGGTCGTGGTGGTTCTGTCGCCGGCCTTCATCAGGAGCAGCTGGTGCATGTTCGAACTCCAGATGGCCAGCAACAAGATTCTCGACGAGAGGAAATCCAAACTGATCATGCTGCTTCTGGAGCACATCCCGGACGAGGAGCAGCCCAAGAAACTGAAGTACTTGCTCAAGACGAGAACCTACATCGAGTGGGTCCCGGACCTCGAGAGTCAAAAGCTCTTCTGGGCGAGGTTGATGAGAGCCATATCCAAGCCTTCGGATAGCGAGGCCATCGCAGCGTCGACGAAGTTATAGCTGAGGCTCCAAAGTCCAAGTCCTGACTCCTGTTTACATTAAGTGTTTGCTTGCACCGGCGACTGAACGCTGTTTTTGCTGAAAAAAAAAAATCCGTTTTGGAACCCGAGCTGGTCGCCTCTGCGGAACGTTTGAACTAGACAGGTTTAGGCATCGTGAATGATATTCCTGTTAATCTTTGCCTTGCGTTTTGTAGTATAAACTGTGAAATCTTATATGATAATGAATCCATCTTGTTTGTCCTTGTTGCTAACCACAAAGGTTTGTCGAATGTGATACTGTAATTTACACACACACAACCACACACACACACACACACACACACACACACACACACACACCACACACACACACACACACACACCACACACACACACACACACACACACACACACACACTATATATACACACACACGCGCGCGCACGCACATCATGTATGGAAGAAATGTGTAGACAGTGATAATCATAGCTTATATCAACAGTACATATTGAACATACTTGCTTTTGAAGCTGCATGGGTGTCAAAATTCTCTGTGGTATTTTTTTCTGTATCAATATTATTGTGATGTATAATCATTACTCATATTACAGATATCACTCTAATGTTATCATCATTACTCTAATGTTACTGCTTTTGCTGCTACTACCTCTCGACTACTACTACTACTACTACTACTACTACTACTACTACTACTACTACTACTATACTACTACTACTACTACTATACTACTACTACTTCTACTACTACTGCTACTACTACTACTACTACTACTACTACTACTACTGCTACTACTACTACTACTACTACTACTACTACTACTACTACTACTACTACTACTACTACTACTACTACTACTATTACTACTACTACTATAACTACTTCTACTATTATTACTGCTACTACTATCTCCACCATCACTAATATCATTGTGTCTGCTTCCTGTTGCTGTTGCTGCTATTGCAGTTACTAGTACTACTACTACTACTACTACTATTACTACAACTAGTGGTAGTGGTAGTAGTAGTACTGTGCTACTACTGCTGCTGCTACTACTGCTACTACTATTAATACTACTGTTGCTGCTGCTGCTACTGCTACTACTGCCGCTGCTGCTACACTACTACTACGACATCTATTAATGTTACCGTTACTTCTATTATTATAACAACAACTACTGCTGCTGCTTCTACTAATATTATGCTACCACTATTGATAATACTACTAATACAATAACTATCACGTCAATGATTATTATAATACAACCAAAACTATTTTGATTACTACATTATAATAACGTCAGTATTGATACTCATAATACAACCAAAACTATTTTGATTACTTCCACTATCAAAACCCCTTTAGCGTCACCATACATAGCGATATGATCATCATTGCCATTATTATAAACATTATCCTATTCATTTCCACGATTATATTATGATTCTTTCATTATCATTATTCATATTATGATTGTTCTAGATATATCAAATTCTTGTATTCTTGCAATCTACGAAAAAAAAGTCTTTATTATCTTTGTAAAACTGCCTAATATTAATTTTAATTGAATAGTAATATCAATGTTTATTATCGTTATGTGCTGTATGTTGTTGAATAACGATGATACAGTAGTACGATGTATCATGATTTATAATAAATTGGGACAATAACGATGTGATTATGATAAGAAATAATGATGTGATAGTGGAAATGATGATAATGATTATGATAATGATGGTATTAATGAAATGATAATGTTAATAATAATGATAATACAATAATAATAACGATGATAGTTATGGTAATGATAATAGTAATAATGATGATGATGATAATAATAATGATAACAACAAGGATATTAATAATAATGATATTGATATTATTGATAAAGATGATGAAAATGATAAAGAAATAATAATAATGATGATAGAAAAAATAAAAATAATGATGGTAATAGAGGGAGTGGTAGTATTTACATTTTGTCATTGATGTGTTATTATTATTGTTATTATTATTGTCATTATTATTATTATAATTTTCATCGTTGTCATTAGTATCTTTATCATCATTATTATCATCATTACTATCATTGTTATTTCTTCTTATTATTATTATCATTATCATTATTATTATTAGCATCATCATTATAAATATTATTATTAATATGATTATTATTGTTATCATCATCATTATCATTATTATTGATATTATGATTGTTGTTATTATTGTTGTTGTTGTTGTTATTATTGTTGTTGTTGTTGTTATTATTGTATTATTATTATCATTATTACTATTGGTATTACAACTGGTATGGTAATGATAGTAATAATAAAGTTAATAATGATAATGAAAATAATTATAGTAATAATGATTATTATTATTATACCATTATCATCATTATTATCATCATAATCATTATTATCAACATTTTCATCATTATCATCGTCATCACCATCATCATCATTACCATCATACTATTTTTATTGTTTTTATTACTATTATTATCACTTATCTGCGAATCCATATTTCTTGTATACTCTGTGTTACTGAACGTGTTGAGAACGTGTTTATCCATCAGCTGTTTGCCTGGATGTATTATTTTAAGGTGTTAAAATTCCCAAGGGTGCAAAAAAAGAATCTCTTATCCGTTAAAGAAATGTCAAAAAAGTAGGCTA